AATGAGATAATGCGTTTAAAAGCATAACAATGTCTGCCAAGCAATACTCGTCACTTGTCACCTGCAAAATGGTAGCAATGTATATTCTTCTTTGTTGGATGGCAGGACCCTTTGAGTATCCACAGCAAAGTGACTAAGATGTATTCATCTTTATTCCCCCTGCCCCAGCTCCAGCTTAGACCTTTGCACACAGTAGATGTTTGTTAAAAATACTCTGTAGCCATCTAGTTCTGGTCGCTCACCTCTCAGAAGCTAGTAGCATCAGGACTTGCTAACCTAAGGAGTCTATTTGTACTGAGGTGTTAGGGGTCCAACAGCTCTCAATGTGTTATTCTTCCCAGATACAGGATTTACATGCTGGGAGTTTATATTCCTTAAACCAAAAGAATGCTTAACAGTGCCCACTTAAGGCACTGAAGCGGGAGAGATAATTATTGTGGGCAAAATACCTCTTAACACTCATTAAAGTTCCACAAGAAGTAAGCTAACCTTTCATTTAAAAGCACAGTACTAACTGGCACATTTATACCCACCAAGCGGTACCTCTCGTTGTCACTGACAAAGTTTAACTGCCTCAAACTCTGCCTCCCAGAGACTTTAATAAGTTCTCCTGACCAGCGTCTTTCTCCCATAAAGGCTACCCTTCACTTAGTCATATGGCCACACTAGGCAGTACTTTCTCATTGGATTCCACCTTAATGTGTGTGGCATGGACTGACTACTGCCAAAGAGCTGGGACAGGATGCCAACTGGCAGGGGAGTGGCTGGCTAGCCTAGCTTGGCCAGCAAGGACTCCAGCAAGGACCCCTCCAGGCTCAAAGAGGGAGAGTGGGTGTGGACTCCCCCACCGGGCATCTGAGAAGAGCCCTGGAGACGCCCTTGTGATGCTGCCGTCTCTGCCAGCTTTGTCATCCCAAAGCACAGCTCTGGACATGCCGCACACTTACGCAGAAGCCTGGAGTGGATCCTGACTGCCTATTGCAGCAAAGCCTGACTCCAGGGCCCTCTGCTTTTGGCTCAAAACCCTTCCTGCAGCTTTACCTCCCACTCACTCCCACTCCATGGCCAAACTAAACAGCTCACCTTGCCCTGAACAGCCACAGCCCTCCCACCTTCCAACCTTTACCCTTGTTGCTTTATCTTGAAAGGCTAATCCTATTTCCTTCATCATTTGAAATCCCTTCACCTGTCCCTCCAGGTTCAACTCAATCGCTACCTCCCTTCCTGACCTACATTGGGAAGATCTCCTGTCTGAATGCTCACAGCAATTCATACTCTGCTACATGACCCTGCTGTTTTTCTACTTTGCTTTATGTGTGTATTTGTCTCATCTGTGTTCCTAGATGGAAGACTCTTAAAGAGCAGGGCCTAGTCTTGTATATTTCCCTCACCACTCTTGCACAGTTTCATAGATGGTTGGATGGATGGATGGATGGATGGATGGATGGATGGATGGATGGAAGGAAGGAAAGGGGAGGGAGGGTGAAAAGGTGGGAGGGATGACAGGAGAAATGGGAATGAGTGAATAAACAAAAGGCCCTTTTCCCTGGGGATCTACCAGCCTCTTAGTAACCAAAGGCCTGGCTCACTGAAGATGGGATGGTCAAAGTGCAGGCCCTACTCTGAATGGCTTCCTCCTGCCCCTCCTCCCCTGCCTGGGCCCCCCCGCTTCAGCTGCATTCATCACATAGGCCTGGGCCCATTGAGAAAAAAATTTGCAAAGGCAGAGCAGGGGTGGCCCTGCCCCGTGAAATCCTCTTCTTCAAGGGCCACTGCCCCCACAGGAAATCACTGAGGGGCAGACCAACCTGCTGGGCCCCTTTATCCCATGGCCCTGACACCCCGGAAGCTGACTGTGACCACACACAGCAGGAGACACACACAATCCCCTCAACCAGCGAGTCACTGGTTGTCACTGGCAGTGACGAATTCTCCATGCTGCACAGACACACAAAAGCCAATGCCAAGAGACAAGAAAAGCCACAGTCAACAATGACGCTTCAGTTAACCAGAACTCCATGTGCTGCAATTCTCATTTCATTGAGGTTTTTGGTTATTTCATTTGGGGGTTTCAGGGTTTTGGGGGTTTTTTTTTAGATCTTTGTGCCCTCTCTGGAGGAAAAAGTGAAACAATACAAGAAAACAAACTGACATTAGAATTGTGGTCAAGAAGAGTTTCTGGGGAAAAGGGGGGGCAGCGCTTTCGCATCTGGGGTTTCAATGGCCGAGTTAGTAAAGACAGCAGCCCTGACTCTGCCCCAGGGCCGGTGACTCTGCCTCACCTGTGTCTATTAATTGATTGACCCGGTTCACAAAACTTTACCTGAAAGGGTCCCAATAACCTGTCTTATGCTGCTTATTTTCCTCTGCCTGGTAAGTGCACGATTTGTAAACAGTGTTGTGACTAAAGCCACCCAGAGGCCAACACAGCCACACTACCCAGGAAAGGGCTCTTTCTGCTGCAGTGGACAGAGCTCAAGCTATGTCGTCCAGCAGACACGTCTCATCACCTACTCTCCCTGTGACCTCTGCAAGCCAGGTTCCTCATCTGTAAAATGGGGATAATGGTTATAATATCCCCTGGTGGGTGGCCATGAAGATGAGTGGGACGGTGTACGTCAAAGTGTCCAGTGCACACCAGCACACAGTGGGAGCCACACAAATGCTGGGTTTCCTCCCTTCTCATCCCAAATCTCTCTCAGCACCTCTGGCAATCACTCCTGGGAGTTCTCCTTGCAGCCCTGCAGGCCTCAGGCCATCCCTCTGGTTCCCACAGGAATCTGTTTGGAGCCATCAGGCCCTGAGACCAGCCCTGCAGGTACCCTCCGGAGGTGAAAAGGGTGGGGCAGGCACCTGCCCTCCCTGAGCAACTCAGGCTCCCTCCAGCTCCTTAGCACTTCTGTCCAGAGCCAATAGTCAACCCATAAAGTCCTTCCCTCACCCCAAATGCCTGTCCTCTCTGATCAGCCTTTTACCCTGGCACAGTGCCAACTCTATCACATACCTGAGATACTTCATTTAATCCTTATAACAACCCAGTGACATAGGGACTGTTACTCTTCCCTACAGATAAAGGAAAGTGGGGCCCAGAAAAGTAACCTTCTCAAAGTCACACATCTAGGAAGTGGCGGAACCAGCATTTGAGCCCCACAGGGTCTGGCTCCAGAGCCAAGCACCGCAGGCATGCACCTCGGGGCCCTCTGCATTGTTGCACCCATGGCTGCAGCCAAGAGGAGCCCCCATAGCACTGCCTTGGGGGACCCACAGTGGGTAAACAGTTCCTATATATTCTTCCTAATTCTCACAGTGAGCCTGCACAGTAAGTATAATTTTCCCATTTTGCAGATGAGAAATACAGACGGAGGCCCAGAGACATCAAGTCAAACTGCTAAGTCACAGAGCTTATAAGAGGCCAAGCCAGATGCATCTGGCCCCACAGCCTGCAGCTTTTCCACTGCACTGGATCAGACTGTCTGCTCCCAGAGGTTGGTGTCGGATACACAGAGGAAGCTGAAGCTGAACATGCCGGTTTGAGAGGTAAGGATACCCCATCTGTCCAAGAGCTGCCCCTGACCCACAGCTACAAACTGAATCCCAGCCCCAGGCTTTGCTGCTTCAGAGCCTTCCCAAAGCCCAGCCTAGTATCTACAGTAATGAGCTCTGTTATCTGGGACGGGAACACTCGCACTAAGACAGATTAGTGGGGCTGCCGTTATCTGGGCTTAGCTGTCTGTTGGTAGAGAACAGACCCCAAAAGGATTAAGACAGGGTAGGGACACTTTAATTTGGGGAGAGGGACATTGCATGTTCAAGGGGCTGTCAGGGTGACCGGAGTGGGGGAAGCCTGACAGATGGAGGTGGGAGAGCCCAGAGAAAGGGGTGACAAATATAAATTCTACATTTTCTTGGCCCAAGGCAGGCATGCTTAAGTGCTATGAGTTCCCTCACTTCCACTCACAGAGCTTGTAATGCTCTGATCCTGGCTGAAGAACTATATTCCGTCAATATCATTTATTTGCGTATCATCATCACTTATTCATCTTCTTTGCCTTCTTCGAAGTACCAAACACAGTGTTGACCCTTTTCTACCCCTACAAGTCTCCCCTTCATGAATGCAGGGACCACTGAGTCACAGAGCACTCTACGAGCAGGCCCCAGCCCAACCTCTGGGACTGTCCCTTTTGTGTAACAAAGCACAGACTCCTTAGCTGGACACTCATACCCTGGAAACTGAGACTCTGCCCTTGCCCAGTGAGGACTCTTGAATGGGAAAGAGCTGTTGTCCCCTGGGGGGCTGCAGCAAGATAGCCACCTCTGGCCCTTTAAAGATACTGGATCCTTCTTGGTGGGGGTGACTGTGGCACTCAGAACTGGCCGAATGGACTCCAGTCTGCAAAGCTCCCTGGTTGAAGCAACAGGTCTTCTGCACCCTCTGAGGGAGCCTTGGTAGGTGCCCCCCTCAAATGCTGACTTCTGCCTCTGGTGTATCCACACCCATCAGACCTGGGAATTGGGTGATGACTACTCACACCTGCATCTTGTCTTATCTGTGACTGGGAATCCAATAAATATTTACTGTTGATTTCATGCCCAGAGATTGTAAGTGAGCAAGCAGGCTTTCAGGAAAGTGTGAACACGATTTAAAAAAAAATCTATAGCTGGGTCCTGCAGAATTATTTGGGGGCTGTAAGTATGGCATATCTTGGGCAAGAATACATTTGGGGATGAAAAGACATGAGGTCCTTCTTTATCACAGCCCCTTCAAGGGTAATGAGGAGGAGTGTTGTATCAGGTAATTACTACCACAAAACAAACAACTCCGAAACTTAATGGGGTCACTCACGTGTCTGGTTGTTGGCAGGCTGTTGGCCATGATGACAGAGGCAACTGGGCCACGTGGCTCTCATCACCAGAAGCTAGTCCAGGCTTCTTCAAATGGTGGCAGTCATGGGGTTCCAAAAATAGCAAGAGAGGACAAGTCCCACTGCACGAGTCTACTTGATTCACCGCAGGCAAAGCAAGTCATGTGACAAAGCCCAGTCTCTGCTTGGCAGGGCAGTCAGAGTCAGAGTGCTGGAGGGCGTGGATCCAAGGAGGGAATGATGTAAATAAATAAATCACCAGGCAGGCTGTCTTTTACTAATACATTCCTCTTACAACATCATCAAGAATATCTCTTTTTTACCTCATTATAATAGATGGTCAATAAATATTTTAACAGATGTGTAAGCAAATAAATACACAATGAAATAAAGAAAAGGAGGGGTGAGTGAAGGAGTGAGGGAGAGAGTGAGTGAATGTAGGTCTAAAACTCAAAGTGCCTAAAGAATATTGTGACCCTCAGGCCTGGAGGAAGATTCTGGAATTTTGAGAAGAAGCGTAAGAAAGACATACAACTCTTTAAGGTACAAAATCCCTAAAGAACACGGTGTTTGGAGAGAAAAGGTTTATGGGTACAGAGACAGGAAACTGAACTAAAATATCAAAAGCCCTTACTCCTCAGACTTTATTTCTTCCCTAACCATAACATGATTAGTTTCTTCACTTTTTTATTTCAACATATATTTATTGAGCTGCTACTCTAGGCCAGGACTAGGCCCTGTACTCATCATGTTGCCAGTCAGAGGTTGTTCTAAATGCGTGCTTCCTAGGCCTGCTTTGAGGCACACTCCCTGCTGCTTCTCTGTCACAGTGTCACCATCTGCATGGGAGGGGAGAGGCATTGCCCAGCTCCCTCCCTAAACCTGGAGGGCTCCTCAGGCTGGGAGCTGCTGAGAGACTAGGCCCAGATCTGGGTTTCTGGATTGACAGACTGGGAGCTCCTGGGCGATAAGACCTCTAAGCAACTTTGTGCCTAGAATGTTCTGGACAAGACTGGGAACCATGATAAGCACCTGAGTGATGTCATCCATCACAACCAAATGATCCTATGCCGAGCAGAAAGCAGATATCCAACTGATGATAGTCAACACAGGAAAGCCACTAAGAAAAAGAGAGAAGCAAGACAGGATCTTCTGGGCATCCCCAAGACAGGGCTCCTTGGCCATGCACAAACCGGCCCTCCCCAAGCTATTCAGCCATCGTCCTATGACAAAGCCCAGCTTCCCAGTAAAGACAAACAACTCAATCACCTAAGCAGAGCTCCAGCCTCCAAGGAACAAATGGCAGAGGCACAAGCCCCGAGTTGGCCTTTTGGTCCCAGAAACAGAATGAAAACAGAGAAAAATATGGAGAAAGTTTTGACCCCCACTCCCTGCCAAGCTGTATGTGGTACCTACCCATCACCTCCCAGCATCTCAAAGTCGCCCTTTGTGCCAACTGACTGATCAGGAAGAAGACAGGAATGCTCTCGACTCCCCTGTCCCCTCTCCAAATCTTTCTGGGTGCCCGCTCACCATATCTCATTCCTTCTTCCTATAGGCTTTTGTATCCTTTCTTACACCCCAACTCTGTGTCAACCCCATTCTTTCTCTTCAGCCTTTCTCCCCACTGGCTCCGTCCCTTCACCCACAAATATCCCAACACCTTTCCTAGTCCCCATTAGTCAGCATCATAAGATACCATTGGTAGCTCTTTGTGACACTCTCCCCCAAGCAGACCATCTTCCTAACCTCCCTACTCCTCCCCAGTTCCCAGCATGCAGGCTCAGACAGTGACGTTTGTCTTTAATAGCTCGAAATAGGAAATGACCTTAACACTGTTGCATGAGGCTTCCTCCATCTTCCTTCCCATCCCCGATACCCACACAATTAGTGGCCAACTTCTATCTGTCACCCTTTCTAATAGCTGAGGATCATCCCTTTCTCTTCATTCCTATGAACATCACCTTCCTTGGATCTCACAAGGACTCTTGTCAGAGTCTTCTGGCCCTAGTTTCTCCACCTCCACCTACCACCACCGGTTTAAATTCATAGCCTATTTGGGACCAACCCTTTTACATTTCTATATTTAATCCTGTCACACTCTCTTAAGCCTGGAAAGATTAACCTCTGTCCTGTCAAATCCTACCCAACCTTCAAGAGTCTGCTCAGTGGGACCTTCTCTAGAAATCTTTCATTTCCTACCCTGCTCCCTCTTACCATCCCACTCCCATGGGCTGGAAGTCATCTCACTATCCTCTCAACTGCTATAGCTCTTTGTGCCTGTCCTAAGATGCTATCACTTTCTGCATTGTGTCCTAGGTGTTCATATATTTTCCTGTCCCCCTTCACACAAAGATTCCTTGAAAGATATAACTAAGTCCTTTGTATTTTTATATCTCCTACAGAACTAAGATGATTCCATTGAATAGAGTTGTCGAATGAATGAATGAATGAATCCCCCAGCTTTCACAGAAGGCAGTCACAGAGCATCTGTAGCTCTTTGGGCAGGGTCTTTGGGATTCTTGCCCAAAAACAATTTGGTGACTGTAAAAGTATCAGTTGAATTGTTTACCAGAGCTATGTCTTTTGACAGCCGTCTACAACCACCTCTGTATAGAAGCAATGAAATTAAAATCCACTGTACTGAACTAAATTCCTTGAGCAGCCCTATCTTTACCCCACTCCCCACCTCTCCGCCCCACTCCCACATATGGAAGATGGAAAGCTGTAGCTTCTCGGTTGTTCCTATCAGAACTGTAAACAGCCACCCCACCACCCTGGCTACCCCACCCCCAACCCCAGCTCAGCCACTGAGCTCATGTCTTCTAGCCTAATTCATTTTCTAGATAGATGGAGCAAATATCTAGCAAATATTATTTATGACTTTGTGATAAATAAGCCTTTTACAGAAGTTATTCAAGGAGTTCTGGGGAATTTCAAGAATAACTTTCAGCAAGTTTCAAAGGTCGGGTCAGCCTAGGATATTGAGCCCATAGTATTTGCTGTACTGTTCATCTGTTTTGAATTACTGGTCTTACCCAGCTTCAGTCGACTCTCAATGGACTGGCTGTGCTTTAGCTCTCTGGCTGTATTTTATTTCAGTAGTGGGCAAGGAACTTTAATAATTATTATTTGTGCTAGACTGACAGTGGGGAGAGAGAAAATGGATATTAATGAAATTCAAGTTATAGCAGATGTGCTGGGAAGGATGGGTTATACCTGACCAGCTACCACTGCTCATGTACCCCCACAACCATGCACACACATCAGTGGTATCCCCCTCCGTGCAGAGGAGAGAAGGCACCATGCTGAACCTGGCAGCAAAGAGGTGGGGTCATAAGGGCAGGGCTTTCCCAGACAGCCAGGAAGCAATGGGCTAGCCCGGGCCCTTTACTAACATACAAATGCACGTCTGATACTCTTGCAGAAGCTGCAAACATAGCTTCTTGGAAGCAGAGACTGTCTCACTCAACTTCGAATCCACGGAACCTAACAATTTGCTAGCACATAGTAGGCACTCAATAAATATTTATTAGATTGGGTTGGATTGGATTGGATTGGATTGGATTGGATAAGATCGAATGGAATTGAATCCAATCAAACTGGGCTCTCATTTCCCCTCCACTCTAACAGTAGCTTCCTTTCACAAAGCCTTTTGGGTTTTGTTTATTTGTTTTTGTTGATGGTGGTTTTTTGTTTCAGGGGGATTTTTTTCTGGTTAGCTTATTTATCATGGTTGTTTGGGTTTGATTTTGATTTACCCTGAGAATGAATTTGTCTGAGGCAGAAGTTTAAAGTAAAATATAACGGTTTTACCAGATCTACACATTTCTCCCTAGATAATTTGGCAAAATTCATTTCCCATTCCTAAGACCTGAGACTATCAGCCTATTATTCTATAAATGGTGTAGAATAAAGAAGTAAAGAGTACTGTCTCGTCTTACACCCTTTAGAATAGTAAAATTTGTGTCGCCCTATTAGAATTTGAAGATGGCTTTTTTTCTGAGCCTGCTCTACTAATTTGAAACTCTTTATTTGGCATATTTCACTGGGCACACATGGGTCCTTAAAAAAGTAATTGGTGAAGTGAACTGACTGCAGAAAGCTGGATTTGTTCACCTCTTTGGCTGTTTGTTTTTAACTTCAGAAGGTAGAAAAACATCTCCCCCTGTGAGAAATCAATCAAGGGCTCCCTTTGTCTTAAGACTGAGGCACATTCTGCTAGATCCCCTTCTTATAAACATCTGTCCCTCTCACTTACATACTAAATATGGCCTGAAGAAATGCTACCTCAGTTATTTTTTTAAATCAAATTATATTTAAATGCACTAGTGGACATTTAAAGAAACACCTCCTGCAATATGAACAACTCTCTAATTTACCTACTAGCAAATATAAATGTTGTCATATTGGGCTTTCTCAAGGAATATTCATCCCTTCTTTGTTCTTTCAGAAAAGACAATTCTCAGCGGGTATGCAGTCTCCTTCCTGAAACATAGAAACTAGGGCTGAGGCCCCAGGAAGGCATGTGCCTATTAGCCAGAGTTGCATGTGGGTACAAATGGGAACCCAGCTCCAAAAGGGAGGGTTAGCAAAAGAGAAAGAGCTGAGATCATCCAAAAGAGGTCATTAAATTATGAGGAAGTGTCTATTTTAGAGGATGCAACAGGATGGAGCAGCAGGGAAAAGAAAACAGAAAATAACAAATCCATTGGGCAAGAGAGATTGAAAACCCATGATGAGGGCCTTTGATATCGTTAGCTCGTATTTGCTCCTGCATCCAGTTCTGTGTTGGGCCAGGTACACTAAAAAGCCCAGGGACAGAGCTGACAGGGTCACCAGCTTGTTAACCTGATGACCTTGGATTTCTGCAAGCCACTCCAGCTTCTGGATGCAAACCCTCACTTAAAACTCTCTGGCCATTAAGACATCCTCAGTCTCTACTTACCCCAGGTTGAAAACTCCATAAATTATCCTCTCTTCCCTTCAAGTCCGTTAATACTCAATTCCACAGGTAATGTGTGTGGGGGGGGGTGGCGGGGTTAGGGCTTCCTACCAGGGTGAACCCTTCAGGTCTATTTCATGAGGAAAAGCATCCTTTTATTGAGAAGGAGAGAAAAATGAAGACTTCCCCTTATACTTCAAAGCATTTAGGGGCAAAACCTCATTGTGGATTCTGGTTAACTTGTTACTTGACAAACCACTCTAAAACTTCGTGGTTTAAAACAACAATGTGTTATCATCTCCCATGCATCTGTTCGCTGGATCAGCTGGGCAGTTCTCTTTTAGGATCCCTCATGGGATTGTAATCAGATAGAAGGGGGCCAGGGGTAGAGTCACCTAAAAGCCTGGCTAGACTGGACATCCCAGACGGTTCACTCATATTGCTGAGAGTTGATAGTGACTGTAACCTGGAGGTCGTGTGGTTGTTGACCAGAGCATCTTCATGTGGCTTCTCACAGTATAGTGGCCGGGTCCCAGGATGAAGTGTCCCAAGAAGCTAGCATTCCAAGACACCCAGGCAGAAGCTGCAAAGGTGCTCATGACCTAGCCTAAGTCCCTGAACATCACTTCCAGCACACCTTATTGATCAGGCAAGGTATTAAGGTAAGCCTAGATTTAAGCGGGGGGGGGGACGGGACATGACACGACTCTATTCCACCTCTTGATGGGGTTAGAAGTACGCAGAGAGGGAGGGAGGGACTTGATGGCAGCCAGGTTTATAAACCCTACCACGGTGGTACCATAGTCTTCTCTTACTCTAGGATTCTAAAACCATTTCACTAATTTCTGACACTGTGCTGTCTCTATCCCCTTCCCCTCAAACTCATGATTCCTCAGTTAATGCCTTCTATTAGGAACACATCTTTTGCAAGTCAGTGAAAGGGGTTTGACAGCTTCTTTGTAAAGCCACTCCTAAATTCAGCACGGTACGTTTTGATTCAGAGAATGGCTACCTTAAAACCACTAGGAAGCTCTTTTTTTTTTTTTTAAGTTATTTGGGTTTTTAAAAACAATTAGAGAAAGTCCATTGGTCTCAATTGTGTCACACCTATTACAGAAAATTTCAGGTGTCCGCACCACACTTTGCTTGGGCTTTTTGTTTAGAAACCAAACAACAATCCAACTTCTGAGGTTCTTTGGACTTATATTTCAGAGTAGAAAGTCAAAAGAAGGAAAAAAAGACTCTGGAAAAAGTGAAAATTCAACTGAAAATAATGACTTTTGAGAGGTGGTGTAATTCTAAAACCTTTCCATTTGAAAGGAAAGGAAAGCTTCCAAGGCATCGAAGGTCTGCAGAGAATAAGTGAGGTTTATACTGAAGCTCCCCACACCCCGGCCTCACTACTGTCTTCCTCTCCCGCAAGCAGGCTGCAGGCTGCAGGCTGAAGGAAGGCTGCCAGAGCAGAAATACTGAGCCATTCACTTTCTTCTGAAAGAGTAAGCAGCAGGCTTGCCCTGGCCAGGGTGGCTCAGCTGGTTGGAGCATCATCCTGAGCACCAAAAGGTCTCGGGCTCCAGTCCCCACCAGGGCACATACCCAGGTTGCAGGTTCGATCCCAGGTTGGAGTACATACCCGAGGTAACCAGTTGATGTTTCTCCCTCTCTCCTCTCCCTTTCTCTCTCTCTAAAACAAAATCAATAAAAATGAGGATTAAAATCATTAAAAATGGGGATTAAAAAAAAAAGTAAGTAGGAGGCTCTTTACCCAGCCCATGCGATCTGCTCTGAGATTCTGCTGAAATTTCTAGGGGCATCTCTATTCTGAGGGTCTCTCGCCACCCCCAAGAATGACTGCCCTGGGGCCCCATCCACACATGAGGCTAAATATTGTTTGTATGAAGCCGCTTCCAGTTCCCTGTAGGCTTATGTGGCAGTAAGAGGAGCTAGGAAAGCAGAGGCAGACATTGTTATTTGTACTTTGCCCTCATATATACTTTTTTGTTATCTCTCAGGTGGTGGCATGGTTTGGGCAAAAGAGCACTGGGTTGGGGGGCCAGTGGGCACAACTTGAGGTCTATGCTATTTCTCCGCTAACAAGTTGTGTGGTACTCTCTCAAGCCTCAGCTGGAAAGTGAGATGGTTCTACTACCAAATAATCCTTAGGTCTCTTCTGTCCCCACATTTTCCCTCAGGAAAACTAGGGTGAGGAAGAATTGATGACACAGAAAATCTCATGTAACTAGGCTGCACACAGAAGCAGTTCTGCTTCCCTTGTCCCACCAGGATGCCCCCGCAGCCCCGCAACCATCATTTGAAATGACTTATTTGTCCAAGACCCCTTTTAGGCCATTGTGGGCAGCTGATAAGAAGAGTTTGCAAACTTGAGACCATAGATAAAATCCATAAGCTCTTTTCCTAAAAGGCAAGGAACTGGGTCTGGGGGTTGGGGTTGGGGTGAGAGTAAGGCCTGTTCTCTGAGCTCTGGAGGTCTCTATATTCTTTAGCTCTTAATCATTAGATCGGAAAAGGGGGGAGGGGTGGGGAATGAAGGCAGAGGGGGAGGTAAAGGGGAAGGAAAAAAACTCAACACCAACAAAAAAAAGACAGAGCCTCACACTCAGGTCCTCTGGGACCAAGAACTCCATTCAGAGTTTTCAGAAAATAGGGTCAGGCATGTCTTGTGACCTGAGACCCCAGAGCTCCTCTGTTCCCCATAATTATCTAATGCAGCACTCTCCCTGCCAAATACAATGAAACAATTTGTCAGTTCAATTATCTGTCAGTCAACACTGAGGCCTTTTCAACAGGCCAGCACATGTGTTTGGAGAGCTTGTCAGTGAGGGCTGTCTAGCCAGACCCATAACCATGGAAAATGGAACCTTTGTTAATTCTGGTTCTTAGAAAAGTAAATCCATTCAATTTCTCTTCTCTCGCTCTCTCTTCTTTTCTAAATGCCTTCAGTTTGGAATTTGCACAAGGAGCTGAATTGGTCCTGCTCTGAACCTTAAATGACTGGCCAAAGGATTTGCATGAGGAAGCAGAAATTAATTATTCCTCTCGGGGCTTTTTCCCCCTGGTTTTCTGTAATTCTGTGTTTAGAAGTGAGATTACACCCTGCATTAGCAGCAGGATGGGGGTGGTGCAAGGGGGGAGCTACACAGGGGGATGGGGCAGGGAGGTGTTTGCATTTTGTTAGGGCTTCCCAACCAGCGGGCTTCCCTGCCTGCTTCTCCTTTCCCTTCCTGGGCTCTGGTGCAGACAGAGAGGAAACTCCTTGGGGAAAGATCCCTCCGGGGTTCTTCAGATTCTCCACTTGAAGAAGGAAATCCCTAAACCTGTGAAGGAAGCTGGGCCTCCTTCACTGTAAGAGGACCTGGAGGGGGAAATCAGTCTGTGGCTGAATTACAGAGGCCTACATGAAGAAATCTGTACATTCTCTGATTTCCCAGAATAGTCTAACTTGAAATACTCCATCCCAGGGTCAGGCTGTGTGTGAAGCTCCGTTTTGGGCTGGGAATATAAGGTTGCTATAAGACAGTGAGCCAGCAATGAAGACCAAGGACCTTTCACGGTTCTCCAAGGCGCACACGCGTGCGCACGTGCACACACACACACACACACACACAGCAGCTAACATGCTTTGAAGGTGGGAGCTGGGGGTGGGCACGCACGAGTTCATTCATGGTAGTGCTAGGTTGGCACTTCTACCTGGATCGTTTTTGTAGTGATTTTTTCACATACATTGTCCTATAACAAATAAAATTATAATGTGCTTTAAAATTCATAAATTATAAGTAGTAAAGGTACTAGTGAACTTACCCAAAGTTTATCGTTGAGTAAATGTTGGTGGGAGAACTTTAAGAACTGCCTTTTCTTGCTTAATGTAAATGTAATTGAAGAAAAAAAGAAAAGAGAAAAAAAAAGTCACATACATTGAAGTTTGTCCCACTTTAGACACAAATTTTCCCCCAACCTGAGAATCTGTCTTCTCCCCACCCAGCCCCATGGGTTGTGTTCCTATAACAAGCCTGAGGCTGAAATCTTTTACTTTCCCTCCTTCCAGGCCTAGAGCCCAAGAACACACACTGGTGTTTTCCAGGCATTGGGATTCTGTCCCCAGGACATCTAAGAAAATAGATCCCTGTGGCTTTTCAAGCCAAAGTGCATGGTCTCCCCAGGTGCATTAGAGGCCTTGTCTGACCAACAGCACCCCGCCTTTGCTCCCTTTGCTCTCTTCACCCCCCTTCGCACATCCCTCCTCTCCTCCTGCTCCTTCCTTCTTTTCTCTTTCCCCGCCCAGTTCCTTGCCTACCTCTTCCCTGTTAGTTCTTTCTCTGTATTGTTTTATCCTCTTATCATGATGTTCTGCTTCTTTCTCTCTTTTTCCTCTTTGAACCCTAAGACTTTCATAGCCGCCCCCCTGGCACTGGGTTGTGCACAGAGAGAAATCATCCGTTTTTCTCCCCCTCCCCCC